GAACGACAAAGAAGCAGCCAACGGCCCCGCGCAACAGGTGTGCCAACCGAAAAGCAAAAGGGTTGCCCGCAAGAAAAAAAGTCACAGTGGTACTGTATGAGAATAGTGGAGAATATAGCTATAAGTACGGTGAGTGTCTATGAGTAAGTTTCTAGACTACAATGCGAATTGTCCGAGATTGAGTAAAGTGTGCGTGGGCGTACGTGTAAGGAAAGCAAAATGCAGGAGAGTAACGTGCTGATTAATGCAACAGTGTCCGAGAATAGAAGACGTGAGTCCGATCGTGTCAAGTGTCCCAGGGTCCGTAACCATGCAGTCCGAAAGCGAAAGCGAAGGGAAAACTCTGCGGAAGGAGGCAGAACGACTAGGGAGAAGGGAGAAAGTCTGTCAAAGTCTGTAAGAAAAAGGTCCGTCGTCCAAACCAACGTGCACCCGGCAAAGGGAGGTGAAGGTAGATGAGTCCGTGCTCGGGGGAAAACGAAGGGGAGAGTACAGATCCAAAATAAGAAAATGAACGTAATGGTCGTGCTTAACGTGCATGAGAGGGTAGCCGTCATGTCGTACCAGGAGATGTCAGGGCCCGCTGACCCGGAGAGAAGTAAGAGCCACGTCGCGCCGCGATGACTCAGCCCATGAGCGTGCGAGTGTCGTCACGAGCATCAATATGTCGTGTTGTGTGCGTTTGCGTGTAAATCGTTTCCTCGCGTGGTGTGTGAGCGCACGCGCCAGGGGAGCAGGGGAGCTGCGGCGCCTCAGGCCGTGTCAAGCATCTTCTGCATCTTGGCCACCTCGTACCCTGCATTCGAAGCGGCGCGTCAGTTTCAGAGGGCGCTCAGCGGGGGACGAGGGACGGCGTGCTGACCGAGGAGGGGGAACCGCGCCCCGAGCTTCGTAAGCGCGTAGACGACAGTCGCGAGTTCGCTCCGGAGGTCGGTGGAGTTCAGCGGTGGCCAGGACGCCTGCATCTGTGCTAGCTCGAACGCGAGCACGCGCGAGGCAGTCATCCAGCAGTGCTAAACATGAGTAAGTCAAATGAGCAGCGGCACCGGTGAGCAACGGGCGAGACCACATACTCCGATCATCGGGTCCAGGTAGTCGAAGTCGGCCTCAGTGACGTGCTTGACGACGAGGACAAGGGATCGTGCCGCTCGCAGAGCCTTCTCTCGGGACAGCTGGTCGTCCGCGACGAACGGCTGGTGGAGGCGCACCATCGACGCGTGCGCGAGACTGTGCACGAGGAAGAGCGTGTACTTGTCTTCTGGCATCATGGTCGCCAGCTGGTGCACCGGCAGCAGCGTCGAGACGAAGCGCGAGATGGTGCTGTCAAAGGCTCGGAAGTTTTCGCTGAAGTTGGTCGAAGACGGGAGTCCTGCAGGCGGATCAGCACGGGTGACGGGGGCCAAGACAAAGACAGGAGCGTACTCGGGTTCCAACTCGACGACAGCTTCTGAGAGCCCTCGAACAGCGCCGACGCCTTGGCACGCAGTGCTGCAGAACTGAATCCACCGACCAGAGGGGTCGCCTGCGCCTGGTGCATGAAGAACGATGTGATGACCGGCGAACCGTTGCCGAGATCGAGTTCGCCCTGGTGGCAGCACGTGAGACGCGGTTCCGCGGAGAGCAGCTGGTCGGGACCTACCGCCTCGTAATCCTCCAGGCGCTGCGGCCACGGGGCCATGATCGCCGTGCGCGGGTGCTTGCTGTCGGGGATGATCGACGGGCGCTGGAGCACGACGGACCAGCAGCGGTCGAGGTTGTACACCTGCCAGAACGTCAGGATGCGCTCACCCTGCTCGATGGCGTCCGCGGGCGGGTCGAGGCGGAAGGACGTGTCCCACTCCGCAAGCACGCCGCTGGGCGTGACATCCGCCGTGCCGATCTGGTGGAGACCCCACTGGATCACGAGTGACGCAGCTGCGCTGGCATGGTAGCTGCCCTCGAGGAGGCGGCCGTTGGACAGGAAGTACATAGACAGGATGCACTGCGCTTGGATGAGGTCGATGACTTTCGACGGGTTCGCAATGGCGTCGGAAAGAGCAGCGAGAGCACGCGAGAGATAAAGCGACTCGTGGTCGCTAAGGTTGCCGGGGCGGGACATGTAACAAGCCCAGAGATAGATGGCGTTCATCAACACAGGATGCCGCCGCTCGGACGGAGGACGATTCAACGACTCCCGCAGACGTCCGACATGGACATCAAGGCCACATTGATGGCGGTGTGGAAGGAAGATTTCCAGACTGCGGGAAAAGCGTCAGCTGGATATCCATAAGCGGAAGGCGTGGTCACCCACAGCATCTGTGCGAGCTCAAGGGGAGGTTCATCAGGAGTGAGTGCATCTGCGATCTGACTCGAGGCGAATCCCTGCAATTTGCAGTCTGTTAGCGATGAAACAGTACCAGGGCGAGCCGAGACTAACATTCAAACTTTCCCACTGGTCTTCCCATGACGAGGTGTCCGCATCTGCAGCGCCTCATCAGAATCATCAATCAAGCCACAGTCTTGCAACTAACGTACCAAGTGGGAAAGGGACCGGGGAAGTGGATGCGGAAAGGCTGAATGGGCCTGGTGAATCGTGACTCGAAGATGAAGACGACTCCGAGAGATATGGTGAGACGGCATGGGGGTCAAAGAGCGTGACAGGGGGAGAGGTCTTGTCTGAGCTCTCGAGATCCTTGATACGGGACTCCAGACGTGCGATGTGTTCGCGCATGAGCTGTGTCCTTGTCTTGCCCTTGCCGTCGTCATACTCGCAGGCTTCTGCCTTCTTTGCTTTAACGCACTGTTGACAAGCGGGCTTTGCGCCGTCGCATTTCTGGCGAGTCATCGTTAGGGCCTGTCACGAGACACTAGAGCGAGCTCACTACGCACCATTTTGCGCTTCCTGCATCTTAAACATGCTTTACCTGCGGGGTGGACGGTCAGACGCGGTCGGGTCAGGGGACGCTTTGAAATAGCAGCGTACCTCTCTGCAGAGTGGTGCTGGGACCGGGTGCTGTCGTCCGCTTCTCGGCCATTACGAATATGGAAGTAGTAGAATAGTCAAAAGGAAAAAGTGAAAGCGGCCACGGCGACGCTGTGAATTGAAGGAACTGCGGAGAGGGGAAAGGAATGGCAAAGCAGTGCTAGCCCGGCACACGCTACCAAGAATGAGCAGGGCGTGTAGAGACGATGTCGCAAGCGACCAGGGCGACGAGCCAAGCGTAGACAAGAAGGAGAAGTTGGAGATCGGAGGCAGGGCTTGCGGAGGCATGAGTACTTGTATGGATCTGGGGAACGGCTGTACGGAACTGTTGCGACAAAGACTCGCATAGCGCCTAGCCGACAGACGCCGGACCCGATCAGGATCATATGAGCCTCTTGGAGGACCCCTCTCACCACGGCTAATGAAGCCCGTCCCTACCAGAGTCATCGATTCCTCCTCCAGATCTCTGTCTTGGCACTAGCTCGGCCTGCACACCACACAGTCGAGAGACCACCCAGCCAGAGCCAGCTTCAAGCACACCGAACAAACCCGACAGAAGAGCACGCCCTGCCTCAGGCCACCGGCGAATGTCTGCATGCTTCACGCTGACAGCTCTCGCCGAAAGCGATGCTCGTCAGAGATTGGCGGACGCTGCCCAAGCTCGGAGAGTCGCCAGACCAGTTCTCCGTTCCGACTGACCATGTGGATGTCGTCCGTAGGCGTACCGGGACTTGCCTGCGGACATGATGTAGACACCGATCCTTGTGCTGACTTTTTCGAACGCCCTGCAGGGGTCCGCAAGATGCAAATAAGGCGCACAGCATCGACCCACCTCCAGTCTCGGCACTCCCATCAACTGATCGATTACCTAACCATCCTCCGAACCATACCTGGCTGTTCCCTCTCGCCGCCTGCACAACCAATTAATGCCACCCGTCGTACAGCCTTGTCACTAACCCAGCCTGTCCTTCCAAGATCCTGCCTATTCTTCTTTTTTACTCTCTCTTTCTTTTTTCCTCCCGAGTCCTGCTACTCCCGCTCTACCATACGGTCCGCTCTTCTCGAGGCTGTGACTCCGTCTCGACCATCCTCCGACCGCAGACGGCTCCGTGGCGTTCGTACGTCCTCGTTTCTCATTCAATTGGCCTTCCGGCAAAGCTTCGGCACAGGGCCTTTGTGCGCTTGAGATTGACTCGCGTGTCATCGATTCGATTGGTCTTGTTCGTTCCTGGCCTTGATTGCACAGTACTGGTCGCTGTTCTTTAGAAAGGCCCCCCGCCTGCAGGGCTCAGGGACCGAATCAGGATCTGCCGGTCCCGCACTGCTGGAGGTTAGTGGGGCGCAGCCGATGACAAAGACTGAAACGCATGTGAACAGGAGCGTCCTCTTTGATCGCACGGCGGCTCAGACTTTGCTGCTACACTTGGAAAAAAAAACTAAAGCATCGCCTTGTTACGACACCTCTTGTGGTCATGATCTGCACGGTACGACAAGCTAATACACCTGAACTCCTTCCATGCCCCGCAAAATCAGAAGTTACGCAGTGGTACAATGCATAGTGTGCGCACCCCTTCCCAGCATCAGGCGTCCTGTCAAGTGGGTCGGGTTGCTATGTTGTCTCTGTATCACATGGCTACCGGTTCTTCGTCTGTGCAAAACGCACATGCCTCCGCGGGGCACTAGTCGAGGTTTGAGCTGCTCGCTAACATTCTCTGCGCTCCAACCCCCCACCCTGTGCACCGTAAGTCCGCCGACCAGTCTACGCTAGGTTTCGTGAACTCGGCTCTTACACAGAGATCTAACTAGATGACTCTTTATTTTGCACGTTGGTCAGGTCTCGACGCCGTATACTCCACTCAGGAGGCGTCAGGAGGACTTTGCAGAACCCTGTGCCGCTCAGACGGGGATGAAAACAGGAACCTACGAGCCAACATCCGCCGCAATGCGCCTCCGCTGCGACGCTGCTCCCGCCGGCATCGGATTGAGCGGCAGGGAATGCAGTCCTGGTAAAATGCTATTACCCGACGCATTGGCACCGTTCCCGCAACCTTGGCTCTCCCCTCCGTTCTTTGAGCTTCGTCGAGCGCACCGGCGGCTGTTCCATGGGGCAATTCAAGAGAATTTCGAAGTCGCATTCCAACCAAGATGCCGAATCGGATGCATTTCGCGGCGGGGCTCCTGAGAGGCGCGGTCTGCCGAGAAAGGTGCCCTCTGGGCTCCGCGACCATGGCAGGCGCCCTCAAGCCATCGCACGCACCGCCATAGCACTCTACCCATGCGTTTCAACGTATCGCAGCCAAGGTCCGAAAGCCTAAGAGAGCGCCGCTAGCTATTCGTCGCCGCTGGCACTGTCGTGGAATCGCTCTGACGGAAAGGACTGATCTGCGCTCGTAGGCGGAGTCTGTGAGGGTCCCGTCGGGTCCCGGCGGGGCCCTTAGACCCCTCTCTGTAACTTTTACCAGACTTCGAAAATTAATGTGCGGAAGATTCTATTTTCCGACGAGAATTGGTAGTGTGCTCGTGTGCGTCGGCTATCGTCGCGTAAGTCCACAGGACCGCCGAGCTGCTTAGCGTAAAAAAGCTTCGGTGCGACCTAGAGTCGCGTGCACCGAAGGAGGGCCGCGAAAACTCGTGCTCGTATCACACAACAAAGCGGAGATGATCCGAGATCGAGCGGAGAATGGTCCAAAGTCAAGTCGCTCTGGCAGCTAGCGCAGGCTATGCATCATCAGAGCGCTGCTTAGTCAAATACTGTCAGGCGAGGACGCGGTCACATAGCACGAGAGATCGAATACACGAGTCCACATGTGCCCACAGCCGTCTCGACGGACGCAGCGCGCGCACACAGGCACACGGGCGGGCTCACTGCCCATCAAGCTTCATGCCCTGGTGCAGGCGCTGACCGCTGGGGGGGGGCTACACAGAGGTGCGCTCTGACATTGCGCGCGAGATGCCTATCTGTGATGGGCTAGCGCGCTGGAGGCATCAGCTAACAGACGATGATGTGGCAGAACCGCTCATGTCGTATCGCAGATAGGCTCAAAAGTCCGGAGGCGGTCGGACGTGCCACGGTTCGATACGGCTGGCGTGGGCACTGAGGCCTGCTCCTCCAGCGAGGGCGGACGCCCGACGTGCAGTCTCGGAACCGAGCAGCGCGCAACCGTGTTCCGGAGCGTCAGCCTGAGCTTGGCGCTTACGCTGCAAATGGAGCCCGACGGTACCAGGTAATAAGTATTGCGAGAGGCCGAACGTTGCAGGCGTCATCCAGAAGGCCAGGCTACAGCGTTTGCAGCAAAAATGGGCGGCTGAATGTGCATGACGCTACAGGCACAGTGTCGTCCGAACCGCAGGAAAGCTGCCGCATGCCGCGCCTCATGGCGATCTCGATGAGATGAGTCAGGCTGTCTTCCTTAGCAAGAAAGCGTGAGCCAACAAATCGACTGAGGAGGTGGGTACATACGCCTTTGTTCTTCTGCATGCGATTGAAAGTGACGTCTGTATGCCTCAGACTGCGCCGCAGGTTGCTTCGTACTGGGGAGTTGCTCACGAGACGCATGGCTGAATATTTCAGGTACAGACCGCAGACGAGGGCCATAAGATGAAGAGAGCTGCCAAGAGGCAAGAAGGCGGCAAGGAGGCTTGATCTACAGTCGTTTTCCCAGGCCGTGGACGGAGGCTCTGCGGTACCACATGTACGATGCTGCGGCACGGTCGAGACGATAGCCAGCTGTCATTTACAGCGGCTGCGGACAGACGCTTCCGAAGACAGTGTGGGTGCAGGGACTAGATGGACGTGTTCAAAGAGTGTATAGCGAAGCACGCCTCGGAACGGGGGGGCTGTGGGGTCTGGACGAAGCGGTCCAATCCATGGTCATCGGGGCAAGTCGCTTCTTCGTTTGAAAACAAAGGATACTCACATAATTCCCGTCTATCATCTGAACGTCCTTCTCTTCTCACAATTCTCCGTCCACCCAAGCATCGCAGCTGAGATACCACGCGGAGACGGTGTGGTTCTATCACGACGCGAGGCCCGAAAACCTTCCACACCGTCGGGCGAGTTCTATGACCGACAAGCGAAGGGCAATATAGCGTCCCTGGCTACTGCTTCAGTCTTCTCACAGACACGGCGATGGCATTGACGAGTTGTTGGCGAAGCAGCGTGCTCGAGGAGTCGGAAGTTGGAACATGAGATGTTTCAGAGGCTCGCGCAAGCAGGCGGAAGGACAGGCGGTGCTCCTGGCTGTGCTTAGAGCGGGGTGGTGAGAGGGAGAAGGACGCAGAATACGATGCCCACAGTGGTTGATATACGGGCGGCTTGTGTGTTCATCACAGACATGGGCATCGTAAGCCGTAGATACGGGAATGTCTTGCCGTACCTCTGACGGCTCTATTATCGAGAGAGATATCTGCGTAAAGGCTATCGGTGTGCAAACTACCGTACAACGAAGGTGTACGTAGTGAGAAGACGGCGGGGCGTGCGATAGCGCCTCCTCTACAGCCGCTGGAGCTCTCTGAGTGAAATGTGCTGCGCCATGCTCCCTGAGCTCGTCGCGCGGCATACGCTGCCCGAACGGATTGATAGCGCGACGAAGTGTCATGTCGACGTCATTAGCTGGTCTCAAAAGCCCGGCCGCCAGACGGCTTTCCCTCACGTAGTCAAAGCTGCCGCACGTTCGGCACCACTTCATGAATAGAGCTACGTATCAAGCCCTGAGTTATACGTGGAGCGATCTACGAAATAAGAAGCGCAAAGCTGCATCGTGCCAGCCGCAAGACCTGTAGCACTCCTTTTTCTGGGGTGGTAGTTGGTGTGCACGCTAGCGAAGGAGCGGGTGACCATCTTTGAGAGCCCGGATCTCAGATGAACATACCTTGCTTCCTATCGCTCTTGGTTTCCTTCCGTCTCCAAATTAACCGCACGAACCGACAAAACAAAGCGGCGGTACCCGAATGGTCCGCCCAGTCGACAAGACGACGTGAGCCTCTAAACCCAGGACATCGGCACTAGCTCTCGCATGCTGGAACTTGATGCATCGAGCGGAAGCCTGTAAGCTCCGAGACATCTGTCAGACACAATAACTGTAAATCATGGCAAATCGTACGAAGTGAATCTGTTCAAGCGAGGGATGGGGGTACCATTCAAACCGGCGAATGGGTTTAGTCCGTGAGGCGCAAATCAGGCGGCCGTAGGGGAAAATCAGAAACTGTTAGCTCCTCGAAAGCACAAAACGGAGCAAATAAGGTCCTGGATCGGTCGAGTACGCGACTAACGCCATAAGTTTAGGCCAAGATTGAGCTGTCATGAAGCTGACACGCTGCAACGGCTGAATACAACTGTTCAAATTAGTGATAGTGCGGCACACGCTCACAGACGCAGTGCATACCTTTGATAAGTTTGATACTGTCAATTTCTACCGTCGCTCGTCGAAGATGAGCACTTGAGGCGATGACAACCGTGACGAACGGCGACGGCTCACCGAAGCTCTGCCGAGAAGCCCGACTCTAGGCGGCGGTGATGCGCCGTGGGGCTCGGTGATTCCCGCATCAGATACAGGCGCTTCGCCACCAAGCTCCAGGCTACCAAATATGGCGTCTTCAGCCCCAACAATCACTGAAGCCACCGCCGTTGTCGCCGCTACAGCTGGACAGTGTCACAGGCACACTCGCCGCCATTGAGGACGAAAATTACAGCATCGCATGACTGAGTCCCATGTCTTCAAGTACCAGTGATAGTATCGTAAGTTGCATTACTAAAATTTGGGACAATTTGAATGGGGAAAGGTTATCATGTCTCAAAATCGGTGAATGGATCCCAGCACATGCACATAAACCTGCCAGACTCACCTTAGCGCTAGAGGTACTAGGCGCTATGGCAACGGCGCGCGCTCGTCCTGGTAGCGCGCGCCTTCAGCTTACGAGTCAGTGAGTGAGTTTTGACGGCCATCCTGAGCCTCTTGTAAGCGGTATCAGGCGCGCGGCGCTTTGACCTAGTAATAATATCTAACACCAGTACACAATTCCCGGTAATAAATATGTATAGTTACTCAAGCTGGGAAACTGACAGCTTTGGCGGGCGGTACGTCAGGTCACACGACGAGCCAGTAGACAAGCCGGCGGGGTTATTGTCTGACTACCGCCCACGCATGTATTGAACGTTGCTATCTAGGTGGCGCAAAGAAGAGGACACATATAGGCTCTTACCGTTTTCTCATAACGTCCGTGGTCGCGTGCTGACCGTAAGTATCCGGATTAGCAGTATACAGAGCCCTCTGACGAAATACCACTCTGGACCAGTCCCGCACGGCCGTCCTCGCCATCCCAGCAGTCGTCTACTTCTTCCTCGTTCTCTCTGTCCCGCTCATAGTTAAGTGGCGCTCCGATGTTCCCGAGCAGCGTCGCGGGCCCGCCGTTGAAGGCCGGTTCGGAGAAATGCGACGCGCGAGCGCCCCGCTCTTCGGTCCCCTCTCTTCGGTCCCCTGGCCAAACTGCCGCGAGTTTTATTATGAAACGGCTGTTAAGTATGGGAGGCTGCAAAAGTATATGAGTGGTGATGAGTGTATGGGCCAAGGAGTTAGATGCTAACGAAAACCTCCATAAGAGCGTCGCCAATACTTTCGTACTGGCTGGCGTCGGCGATAAGCGCCCTAGTGAAGTGGGACTCACGTCTGTTCGAACATACGTCAGGAGCTGAATTATGTATGCAACAAGGGGCGCTCTGCAAAACGCCTTAGGAGAAGTGGAGATGCGGATATGTCAGATTTGCACATACGCGAAGCACATAGTTCCTGCAGCATTGTCAGCATATTGCGGGCGGATTTTCGCAAGAAAAAGAAAGAGAACCTACCATCGCGGAGGAGAAGGAAAAGGCTTGTCACCGACTCCTTCAGGTTTAATCTGCGTACTTCCTTCTATTGGTGGAATATCTTGATCGACGTCATGACCAGAACCAAGAGGTCGCCAAGTAAGACGCTGCAACGAGTGACAACAAGGACTGGTCTTCACATCAGACGTGGTTCGGGCGGTCACAGGGAGGAATACCTACGGCTATTATATGTTAAAATCAGCCACTGTTAGCATGAGTGCAAAGCACACACTCACGTGTATCCAGGATACAAATGACCTGGCACAAACATGAATAGAGTAAGTAGGACCTCTGTGACGAAACCTATGAGTATCAGCCAGTCTGCGGTTGCAGGTTAAGCAAGTTTGGACGCACTTGTGTAGCTGTCGGGAACCACTGAGTAAGTTAAGTTAGGACCATCATCTAGCGGATGCTGATGGGTACCATAGACGTCGCGGTCATCTTCCGCTTCCAGACAGTGGCGATCTCCTTGTCGAGGGTGATCAAGTACTCATAGATCGCCAGTGCTGCGTTTGTACCAAAAGGTCTTAATCATGCGGCTATACTTGGGAGAAGAGGGGTTGCGCACCAGTCACGGCAGTTCAGTCGATAGTTCTTATCAACGGCCAGCTTCAGCCATGTCCCAAAAACATAGAGGATGGCGCACATTTCCGTAAGCTCCTCGATGATGTCGAGCGAGGCTTGAGCCATCCTGCATTTCGAAGAGTGGAGGGAAGTCCGATAGCAAGGGCGGGTCGATTCGCAGGTCGGCCCGGCACCGTCTGTCGTGCACTATTCTTATAGGCATCCCATGTCAGTTCTATACGAACTCAAATGCACTAGGCGATATGAGCTGTCGCCTGCCATAATTTATCAAGGTTCGAAATCCGCATATATGAGCTGTGCAGAGTCAGGATCAGCGGTTCAAGTCAGGAGTTGAGGGACGATACGGAGTACTTACCACAACCCGCATCCGACATCTCTATACAGATCGCACTACGTAGGGATGGTTTGTTTTACGTGGCTTTGGTCACAGGCGTGCCCGCAATGCATGAGGTCCCAGAGGGACTGACGACGAACAAATGAGCTTCGTGATTATCAGTTCCCTCTTGAGATGCAAGTGTATGGCGCTCACAGAGCAGACTCAGACCCTAGATAGCCGCGGTGTTAACTGGATGAAGGCGGTGCAGCAGGCTTGCCCTGAAGCGAGAAACAAACTCTACTCGTATTTCCCATAATGATCAACCTTATGTAGCGCGCATTGATAAATTTGGCCCATGGCGCAGAGATTTTGGCGAAGAAACTGACGCGAGTGTACAACAGAGGATTGCTTGGTCCGAGCGTCCATGTTATCTGCCACATTGAACGTTTGCAACCTCCACGCTGACTATGATGCTCCATGGTTCATCAACACCGTCATATTGAACACGCAGGCCACGTTGATTTTGAATGCAGACAAGCAGAAGACCCCCCCTGCGCGACAATCACGACCTGCAAGCTCCTCGGTTGCCAAATACCATGGCTAGAGACATTATTGACTGAAGACGCACCAACTACCACGGGAATCGTCCAATCAAGCAGGGATTCAATATGTTGTTATCCGACTATCGGGGTGTGCGTGACAACAGATTGTGCCGAGTGATTTGCGCTAGACCCTGAGGTAGCACGCCGCCGCCGCCGCCGCCGCCGCCGCCGGTACCAAAGGCGCTTTCAAGGGGTTGTGCGACCGTGAGCTGTATGCATTGTCCAATCAGATCCGCAGAGCTTTGACATGAGCGAAGAACGACAGTAAGCACGAGTAGAGCGGGAGAACCGAGTCCCGTCCGTCTTCCGAGGGGAGCGCATGCACTATGTATTTCAACTTCCTCGCGGCTTCGTGCGCTCCGTACGATGATAGATCTAGTAATGACCAAAAGACGTCAGCCCAACCGCCGTAATGTAGAACGTGCGCACCACTGGTTGAGTCGGCTTCTGAGGCTTGTGACCATTGAGTCGGCGGGGTCGCATAGACTGCCATCACAAGGTGTCCTCAACTCCCAACCCATCCTGCCAAGTTCGTATGAGGCGAGGCGACGAGATCGACGTATTTTGCCAACCGTCCCATAAGGAAAGTTGACAAAATACGATAAATCCGTCGCAGCCATACCCAAGAGCACTCACTCCATAATCAATTAAGTCATCCTTGCTCCGTAGCGGCGGATATACGAGGGTATAATCGATGGGTGGTGGCGGTTGAGAGCAAACTGCGTGGGTAGATCCCGGGTAAATCTGATCGGAGGTCAGCGTGAGGAACTCAAAGCGCTCGCGGACGCTGGAGGTGTCCTGTCCCCTGACCCGAATGGTGTGTTATCACGCGATGACTCTTACACCCTGGAGCGTACAAATACCTTGACGGCATGCCAGGTAGAGACGGCCTCGTATCTTCCTTCCATTTCACTCAATAGCTTTCTGAGATGGCGACGAACTTCTCGAGCATTCCCATTGTCGACTACTCGCTCGCGTCGAACCCCGAGACGAAACCCCAGCTCCTCACCGCGCTGCGCAACGCGGTCACGAACGTCGGCTTCTTCTACCTCAAGAATCACACCATCTCCGAGGCAGAGCTCGATGCCGTCGTAGCATACTGCCCGCGCTTCTTCGAGCTCCCCGCCGAGGAGAAGGAGCGCATCCGGATGGTTCACTCGCCGCACTTCTTCGGCTACTCGCGCTTCGGTGCGGAGATCACGAAGGGTCAGGTCGACCAGCGTGAGCAGCTCGACTTCGGGACGCATTACGAGGATACTTGGAAGCCTGGTGAGCCCGAGTACTTGAGGCTTTGGGGGCCGTCGCAGGTATGTCATGCTCCACTCTAACACGAAGCTGTGGCTGAATACGATAGTCGGGCGTAGTGGCCTGAGGAGAGTCTACTTCCCGGATTCCGGAAAACGTTTGAAAATTATATCCAGAAGAGCCAGCAGCTGGGCAACGACCTGCTGCCTCTGGTCGCGGAGTCGCTCGGGTTGCCGCGCGACGCGTTCTCGCACTTCTTTGAGGTCAATAACCAAGATCGTGTCAAAATTGTCAGGTATCCCTCTCCGACAGATGACTCGACCCAGGGAGTCGGACCACATTATGACAGCGGATTCCTAACGCTGGTGCGCCTGTTCACTGTACCATGCTCGGGAATGGATGCTGACCTCCAGTTCATGCAGCTCCTGCAGGCATCTCCACATCGAGGCTTGCAGGTTCAGAATGTCTTAGGTGAGTGGGTGGATGCGCTGCCTATCCCGGGTACTTTCGTCGTGAACCTGGGCAAGGGTAAGTTGTCTTCTCGTATACAGACCATATCCCGACACACCCCTACCAGCCATGGAGACGGTCACCCAGGGTGTCGCCATTGCGACTACGCATAGGGTGATCTCACCCGAAAAGGGGTCTACCCCACGCTATTCGATCCCATTCTTTCAGATTATCAAGAGGGGGACTGTCATCGGGGACGAGGTGCTTGAGAGTAAGTCTGTCAAACATAGGGACGGGGAATTTAGCTAACGAGCACCAGTGCCGCCTGAGACCCTGAACATCAAAGAGACACGGGGTAAAGTTGGTTCCGACGGTACGTATAACAAGCTTCCGTCTCCGATTTCGCGATCAACACGGTCTGCTAGCTGTCAACTACGCGGAGTACCACCAACTTCCTTCCGGCGAGGTCGCCTTAATCGGGCGGGTGAAGTGCGTCTTGATGTTGTTCAGTGCCATGTTCCTTCTTAATCACTTACTCACAGGAGTCATCCTGACGTCGCGGAGCGGCATTACCCTGAGCTTTTCAAGAAGTACTTCCCAGAAGGCCTGCCGTCTCATGGTCTAGCGTACTGAGTTTCTTAGACCGCCCATGCGTAGCACTCGCAGTGTTCAGGCAGACGTATGTTACATGATAAAGTGTATTCTTACGGTCAGGTGAATGTCATTGAACAGCAGCACCTACTACCGATCCTGTAGCTTGTCGGCGCGCTCCCTCTACAAGAATGCGTTTGCACGCGCTCTTCATGGACCCGACGTCGTACATGCCGCTCTTCCACTTTCTCGTCCTCAAGCTGTCGCTCATCGCGCTGCTGGCCTTGTTCCTCGTGTGCCCCATGCCACTGTCATTAGTGCTCGTGCTTCCTGCGCACGCGATTCTCAGGCTCGTGCGGAAGTTTGGCCTCGATGTGGCAGGCGAACGTCGCAACTGAGGGGCTCTGCTACCCAAAAATCTGACAAACACTCTGTCAAGCTACTTTATTTGCTCGGATCGCACGATATCACCTTTGCATATTGGAGACTTGTCCTGTCAGAAGGGACGAAGATCTCTATATGAGGCAGGGTGACTAGCGCGTTGAAAAACCTAAAAGGTCTACAATTTCTAGAGTATATTTCCATCATCTCAGATCTCCACCATCTCAGGGCATCTCCTCTTAAGCCCTGTGTTTCGTGGCGGGAAGTAGGCGGGTTTGGCAGGCAGGAGCTTGGTGGCGTCGATGACGTTCAATAAAGCTGAAACCAGAGCCATGTCCCCGACGCCAAGCCCGTTACTCATTGAGAGTAGCAGGACAGACAGCACAGCGCGACGAAGATGCGGAAGTGGATGCTAGGCAGGCGGCTTGGCCTCCGGTGCCACTACCACTTGCTTATTCGTATACTATCAATTCGCCATTTTATGAATTAATTAACAAAACGATTACTATGTTCCCCTCAGCGAGCTTCCATCCGATTTTGCGGGTCGGTCCAGCGCAAATATCACGCATTGAACTCGACCTGCTCGTCAACATTGCCTTCAACGAAGTGCGCCCAGCCCAGAGTCAAGAACTCGAGGCTCATGTACCAGTCTGCCCGCCGGAGAATTCACCGCCCAGTGCGTTGGTCGCCGGAATAATACACCTACTGTGGACTTGAGGTGTATGCCCAGCGCGACGATGGCCATATAATATTCTGCACCCTGGACTCGGTGGTGACTTTCATGCGTCACAGTGGGCCGTCAACTCAATGCAGACGCAACCGATGGACCCAGATGTAGTGGTGAGGGCTTCCCCGCGCGGCGTCTGCTGATTACTCTGAGGTCGCTGGGGGGATCAGTCAATTTTCGATAGACTCCGATAGTCCCCGGTCGCTTCGGGCAGACGGAGATTTTGCTGAGGGTGATCAATACAACAGTCCGGATGCGAACGACGAATCAGTTACTGAACTCCGAGCTGAGCGAAGCTAATATCGTTTGCATACACATCAAGCGGTCTCACACACACCATTCGCACCATTTCCAGTAGCCCAATGTCGTACTCCTTCCGCATCACCTCCCCCCATTCCATCCCACCCACCCAGTCAGGTAGCTTGTCATTCAGTGTCACAGGGTAAGTGTCCTCGCCGTCGGTGCCCGCCCAGTCGAAATCCACAAGCTTCGCCCGCAGACCACCCGGGGATCCTGACGGCCCACCCGACTCCGGGACACACATGATGTTCGGTAGATAGAGGTCGCCAAACACAATGTCCGCCTCATGCAGCTTTCCGATCGCTGTGTCGACGTCCGTGTAGAGCGACTGCGGGACAGATTTACCCGCTTCCTGGAGGTCGAACATTGTCTCGCCAGCGAGATACTCCATCACGACCATGTACAGATCCCCATATACTCGCGAGCACGAGTACAGCCGTGGCGCGAAACCCTCTCCATCCAGTATCCGGTGGGCCCTGGCGTTGTAGCGCTTGGTGAACTTGACCAATACCTCGACCGAGGAGTCCTCGGACGCAGACCCCGAGGATGAAGCGGCACATCCGGCGGCAGTACCCGAGCATGGGATGGAGGCGATATACATCCTCGACCGTACATCCTCATAGACCGCATCTTGCGTACCTTCCTCTGATACCACAGGGCTTGCGGCCTCGGTACTTGAGTCTGATATGGACTTTCCTCGCTCACCAGGAAAAATAAGGCGACGACCATCTCGAGACAGCCTGCACTTGAATACCAGCCGTTCCGGGATCGGGTCGCCATCTCGAGCAGTAGGAAACGGGAATAGATGCCCAACGCTATTTGCATTCGACGGCAGCCTTCCGAGACCGTAGTAGTGTCCTCGGATGGAGTTGGCCGCGATGACAATCGCTCTGAACACTCGCGCCAGACGCGAGACAAGGTCATCGGTGTAGAAGTCTGTAGTTAGTATTTCACACGACGGACGGCTGTGGTGTATGCCGTCTACCAGGAAGACAGCACTGCCCAGTTCAATCGAGTCGCCCATGACTCCAATCAGGATGGCCGGGCTGTTAGTCTTCACACCGCGCATGGGATACTGGTGTGTAGTCAGAGCATGGCTCCAGATAGCTGGGTTTCAGTCAGCCGGCGCACCTTGGGATCAGCAACAATCTTGGCATAACGTGTCGCGGCCTGCAACAATGCGTTTCCTCCGATACCTGATTCATTCTTGATCTCTACGACGATCACCACACCTCCACTTTCCGGCACCATACCAGTCTCTGTCTTGGCCCCGCTGGACTCCGTCTCAAATCTGCCTAGACCTAGAATGGCCTCCGGATCCGGCCGCAGTGCTGATGCTCGTTGGTCCTCAGTGTCATACGTTCTGACGCTGTTTATAATGAAGCTATGTGTATGATAAAGCAGTGTATGGTGGGGCACCAGTTCTGGCAGGTTGCTGTCCAAGTGACGTAGATGATGGTCGAACTTGGCTAACGCAGGATGGAACAGAGCAGGGGGTGGATCGTAGTTGTTGACTGGCCGACCTCCATGGACAACGGCCTGATGGCCGCAAAGTGCAGCCCGTATGCCAGACACGTCCTTGACACCGTCTGAGGGCGACGGCGCGCGCCGGGCTCGTTGGTCGCCTTCCTTGCGATACTCTGTTATAGCCACGGAGTTCAGAAGACAAGATACTGTGAGAGGTCAAGATCAACCCACTTCTCAAGATGACTGAAGGCATAAATGGCAGGTCGCCAAGCTCATCTATGGCCTCTCTGACTAGGAAGTCAAACGTCGTCGTCAGCTTCAAGCACGGTCGACAGCCAGAGACCACATACGGTCGGGAGAAATTACAAGGATATCAATAAGCCGGCTATCGCGACCAGTGGGACGCTCCTCCGAGTGAGGGAAATAGTAAGCCACTTGGCTTAAGAGGTCAATCTACTGGTCGGCGTCTTCGACAGCATTGTAATTAGTCTGAATCCACTTGAGTGAGCGAGACAGTCGTGTCCCGCGGGGAAAGTAATGCAGGTTATCCGGCTAGTATCGCTTGTGAGCGCTTGAGCGATGATCCAAAAAGAAGCGTATATGCACGTACCTTGAGGAGAATGACATCACTGAAGTCGATGGGGAGTGGATCTGCATTTCTGAGAAGTTGCAGTATTCTGGTCGCCTGAACATCCTCGCGCTCTGCTTTTGCAGCAATCGGTTTCTCGGAAAGCGGGTAATATAGAATAAACTCGAATTTCGCCATTGTCGATCAAAGATAGAGGTAATAAAGATAGAGAAGCGGGATCGATGCCCAAGCGCTCGTAGAATGAACTTTTCGGAGTTTGAGATGCGATTTGGCAAGCAGCACGAGAGTCCCGTCGCGACATTTTGAGAAAGTATGTCTCCCGACCACCGCGGTGCGTTATGACAGAGCAGTTTCCAACGCTCGCGTTGTGCGGCCACCGTCCGCAAGACACCCAGTGCGTCCCGAGCGCCGGAGTGCGTCAACGCTGTTGTCGCGTTCTGCCCGCGCCAGCTTCGAGCTGTCCGCGACCTTTAAGTTTTCTGAGCTGAAATTGATATTCGCGCTTAGAGGTTACTGTAGAAGCCGCCCAGTAAGAAACTCTGGAGCGCTTAGGTTATGTAATAACTTACCAGACAGGAACTCGAAAGTAGTTTCTCCCGGAACAGTAATACTAACCACCGTGGTGTGTTATCACGCAATGGTACACAAGTGCTCATGCACGATACATAATATTGTGCCCTGAGCTCGAGCTTGCATCCTGACCTCCCTCCTCCATGGCGACAAACTTCTCGAGCATCCCCGTCCTCGATTATGCCCTCGCGTCCGACGCGAGCACCAAACCCCAGCTCCTCGTCGCGCTGCGCAACGCCCTCACGAACGTCGGCTTCTTCTATCTCAAGAGCCACACCGTCCCGTCGGAGTGCATCGATGCCGCCGTAGCGTTTTGCCCGCGCCTCTTCGACCTGCCTGCCGCGGAGAGGGAGCGCATCCGGATGGTGCACAACGCGCACTTCTTTGGCTACTCGCGTTTCGGCGCGGAGCTCACCAAAGGGAAGGTCGACCAGCGCGAGCAGTTTGACTTTGGGACGTCCACGGGGCCGCGCTGGAAGGAGGGGGACCCGGACTTCATGCGGCTCTGGGGGCCGTCGCAGGTGTGTGCTCGGGCTCTTCTGCTGGGCAGATATGCATGCTGAGGGCGGTAGTGGCGCGAAGTGGCCGGATGAGAGCCTCCTGCCGGGCTTCCGGGATACGTTTGTGGAATATGCGCAGAGATTGCAGAAGCTAAGCGGAGAGCTGCTCGGTCTTATCGCCGAAGCCCTCGAGCTGCCCCCCAACGCGTTCGCCCGGTTCTTTGAGCCTGAGGGGAACCAGGACCGTGCGAAAATGTCAAATATCCGGCTCCTGCAGACGAGTCCTCGAACCAGGGAGTAGGGCCCCACTACGACGGCGGTTTCATCACCTTAGTATGCGTGTTCTTCCAATTGGCTCGACCGTTGAGGAGCTAATGACCCTTAGTTGCTGCAAGCGTCACCACATCGTGGATTGCAAGTGCAAAATGTCTCCGGTGAATGGATAGATGCTCCACCTACTCCTGGGACGTTTGTCGTGAACATCGGTAAAGGTGAGCACCCCTGCGCCATGCGCAGCCGGTGGGAATGCTAACCGGCTGGCCTCTATCAGCTCTAGAAACGATAACCCAAGGCGTGGCGATTGCGACCTCGCACCGCGTTCTGTCACCGGAGAAAGGATCGACGCCACGCTACTCGATACCGTTCTTCCAGATGATAAGGCGTGACCGGGTCATCGGCAAGGAAGTACTCGAGCGTAGGCCCCTACATCCATATTAACGGAGATATTGGGCTCATTTTCTGTTAGTGCCACCGGAGATCATGAAGATTAAGGAGGCCAGAGAACAACTTGGTTCAGACTGTACGCTGTACTCCTTCTTTACTCCGTAGTCTATTCTAAGCGGTTCGCACAGCTGTTAACTATGCCGAGTATCACCAGTTGCCTGCTGGTCTGGTCGCTTTGGTCAGCCGCGTCAAGTATGTGCTCAAATGGATCCAAATATTATATCTGCTCAACCATGCTACTCCAGGAGTCATCCTGACGTCGCTCAACGACACTATCCGGAGCTCTTCAGGCAGTTCTTCCCTGATGGTCTTCCCGCGCACGGCGCTGCATACTGAACATTCCGGTTCCCCGAAGCCTCCACCCCAAGCTAGCCTCGTCCCGTCCCTTCTGGAAGGGGTTCGTACAAACCGCACGCAATGTAGTCAGTGGGTATTAAAGTTTGGGGAGGGAGTTGGTGAGCTGTTATCAATCCAGCTGCAGAACAGCAGAACACCTAGAAATACGTCGCAACGAAGCCAAAGCGCCAGCTTGCAGGCGGCTGGGTTGTAACATTAAGTAGTATACCGGTGCATTATGTGTGCTCTTTGATCTTCACAGTAATGATACGGGTACAAATGTCTTCAAAGCGTGTTTAAGCGAAGGAAGAGGTGGCTGGTATTGTGATGAATACAAATACAATCCGAGCACACAGCTATACGTGGGGTGATAGAAATCGAAAAGACTTGGAAGCGCGCATGTGGCCAGCCTGCAGGCATGCGCAAGGTCTAGTATCCAGAGATCCCGCCAGGTCTATCTCATGTCGGCATAGATGTGGTGTGCGTCGAGGTCCTTGCTGCCCGGCTTGTGAGCCAAGTCGACGTGCGCGCCGGTTTGGAGGTCCCTTATGCTCAAGTCGAGGCCGATAGTGGATCACACCGGAGGACACGATGTCAACGCGCGCACGGGCAAAGGCAGGTAGAAATACTCGTGGCTGAGAAAAGTGCTCAGAAGCGATGATGCTGTTGCGACGGACGTGCAAAAACGACTATAGGGCCTCCACCCTCACAGCGCACAGCCATCGACACCAGAGAGCCATTCAATAGCATATATTTTAGCTAGCCACCGTAGGGACAGCACGTATGTACACGGTACACGTCATATGGAGCAATTGAAAAGACCAGCAACAATATCACAGCAGGCAAAGGAAGGGCTATGTACAACGAGCGATGGGCAGGGGTCGACGATGCCGCATATAAAAGCACAAGGCAAGGGATAATATCACGATGCGTGGTATACGGGCGACGCTTGCGTCGGAGAAAGAAGAGCAAAACGCGCATTGGCGCGAATGCAGGAGTCATAAATCGTAGCATCTTCCCGAAGGATAGGAACAACAGTTCCTGTGTATGTGATTCTTCCGTGTTGAGAAATTGCTCAGTAGGACCAGGCTCCGGCGGAACTGGATGCGGACGCTGCAGGGGAAGAGGGGACCGTAGTAGAGGCAGACGGCGAGGCCTCAGCGGAGGCGGGCGCTGGAACCGCAGCGGACGCGGACGATTCGGCCGCGGGCGAGGGGGTTGCGGCAACGACAGCGGACGAAGCTGAAGACGAGAACACGACGGCGGGTGCGGAAGCTGCGGAAGAAATCGCTGCAGACGAAGTGGCGACACCAGAAGTTGCAATGGAAGTGGCGGAAGATGAGCCGATCGCAGCCTCGGACGTAGAGGAAGAAACTGCCGCAGAACTCGCGAGCACCGAGGTGGCGGCTGCCAGCGAGGTGCTGATCACGGCATCGGAGGTCGCAACAGAAGTGGCGGAAGGTGAGCTGATCACAGCAATGGACGTAGAGTCAGAAACAGCCGCAGAGCTCGTAAGCACCACACTCGAGGCGGCCGACGAGGTGCTGATCACGGCGACCGAGGTCGTGACAGATGCGGAGACGGAAGCAGCCGCGGACGACGTCGCAACAGAGGTGGCGGACACACTGGACGACTCATCATCATCACAATCGTCATCAGTGCTCGTGGCCGTCGAGGCGGATGCCGAGGAAGTGAGGACTACCGACGACATGGGAGAGACTGCGGGCGACGTGACAGGGACTGAGGAAGTGAGAACTGCGGATGACGGAACTGCGGGCGACGCGACAGAAACCAATGAAGTGGGAACCGCAGACGACGCGGCAGAGGACTCATCATCGCAATCGTCGCCATCGTCGCCATCATCACCATCATCGCCGCCAGATCCTGAGTTGTTGATCGGTGTGGGGGTTACGGTAGCGACAGAAGTGGCAGACGATGGCCCATCGCCATCATCGTCGCAGTCGTCACCGTCATCACCGTCGTCGTCCGAGCCGGTGGGCGTGGCAGCAGCAGCAGTCGAAGTGAGGACTGTCACAGGGGAGGGCTGGGCGGCGCCACCATTGCCACCGTTCGCAGGGACAGATGTGGCAGGCTCGGGATTCTGAGCAAGGACAGGCGCAGAGGTCTCTGCGGGAACACCGACGGAGCCGGCACCAGCTGCGGAGGTGACAGCAGCAGGCTGAGTAGCGGCAGGAGCTGCGATAGAGGTGTTGATAATAGGAGCGGGTGCAGCGGAAGTACCTGCAGACACGGCCGAGGCGGTAGCGGCCGGCGCGGTGCTGGTAATTTCATCGCCACAGTCGTCGTCGTCATCGTCGTCGTCGCCATCCTGCATACCGGTGGCAACGCTGATGGAGTCGAGAAGGGAGTCTTGGAGGTCGCCGCCAGCCTCCCACATGTTGAAGCCACGGAGGCCTGCCGATACAATGAATTCGCCCTTGGCCTTAAACGCAGCGGGAGTATCGAAGGAGACCATAATCTGGGACGTCTGGTTGTAGACATAGGCCTGTACACAACGTGTCAGTGAACCGGCCAGTGAGATTCGCAAATGAGACTTACGGTCTGACTGCACTCATCGAAACGGCTGTCGATACCCGGGCGAGCGGTGCCATTGGAGAAGATCCATCCTTCGCCGACGAGACCCCAGTAATCCCAGTTGCCGCCGGGGTTGTTGTCCGTCACACCACAGACGTCAGTGCCCTGAGGACCGTCCCAGCCATCACCCAGCGGGAACGACGTGTTGTTGAAGGATGGGTACGCAGCAAGCGTGTTGTCATCTCCCGAGGTGAACGCGTCACTGGGCGGAACAGTGAAACTGTGCCCATAACCGGCGACACCAAGGACGATCTGGTGCGCGGGCATGCCAGCAGCAGTCCACGCCTGGACAGCAGAGACGGCGCTACCCATCTGGTCCGCGGCAGGTGCACAGGTGTCATTGAGCGGCGAGTTCGGGCCAACAGCGTTGCTCCAGCTGCCCCAGACGTCGTAGTTCATGATTGTTAGGAAGTCGAGGACCCCGGCGAAGCCAGAGACATTGGTACTGGAAGAACCGGTCTCGTCCTTCCATGGCGCGATAGGCACTGCAGCAGAGAGGATGATATTCTTGCCGACGGGGTCTGCGCGCAGCTCCTGCAGGAACGTGAGGAAGTTCGCGGTGTCGTTGGGACTGACTGCATTACAACCGATGCCCTGGGTAGCAGGGTATTCCCAGCTGGAATGGTAGAGACCGGTTATGGAATTGAATAAACAATTGCACAAAATAAACCTACTCAAAGTCGATGCCATCCAGCTCGTAGTTGTTCACCAGGTCTACGACAGTCTTGACAAATGTGGTGCGGTTCGCTTCCGAGCCGACGTTGGTAGAGAACGCACGGGCGCCGGTCCAGCCACCAATGCTGAGCATGGCCTTCACGGAGCTATTCTTGGCTTTGGTAACAAGCTGCGTGAGAAGCTGCTCGTCGGACGCGGCGAGTGTCGCATTCCCAGGCTGAGTGGGGTCCGTGACCCTGAATCGCATAAGTGTTTCAGTTCCTGGCGACAGAGAGGAGCTCAAAGCACACTCACGCAAAGGCATATAACATATGGGTGTACTTGTCCCAGCTCACGTCGTCCAGAGTGAAGTTATGGGCTGCGTTGTTGGCGTGCCATCCAGCAAAGTACGCGGCAGCAATCATATCCACGCTAGCATTTCCAGAGGCTGTCGAGTTCGCCACGCTGGCCGAGGCAGCGAGGTCGCGGGCGAGGTGGTGGTGAAAGTCGCGACGCGGGAGATGGCTGGCGCCGAGGGCGGCTGAAGCAAGGAACGGAAGAGTAAGGAGAGAAAGCATCCTGCCTGCAACGGCGGACGATTAGAGTCGTTAACGGGAACGGGAGGAGAGGGACGGAAAGGTGCCCGGGGGTGGAGGAAGAGATGAAGAAGAGAAAAACAACGACTGCAAATATAAAGTACTTGGGGCGCCTATTTGTATAGCCTTTCGTGGGTGTGATGGAAACTGAATCGCTTGATTGACGGCAATCGAGAAATCAGGTTCCCCCGACCGCAGCAACATGGTTGTACAAAAGTACCGAAGTGAAACTGAGGCGGGGAAGAGCAGAGGAAATTGTAAAAACGTGCACGGAGGAATGCTTGCTTGCTGGGCTCTATTAATCAAGTGGTTAATTACATTTCGAGTTCAGAGCCGTGGCCGTGACCGTCTCGCCATATTTCGACCCACTAGAGGAAAAAAGAGTATCTGTGAAGTCATAGAAACAACGTGCTGTATACTGGACAACAACAACACAACAGCACTACTGTGTACAGTGTGCACTGTGCAGCGTGGAATGCAGCACAAAAAGCATAGGTACCTACTGCTAAATCAAACTCCACCGACAAGATTTGAACCCCGGTTTCGAGGGGAAAGTTAACAGTGGAACCAGATTTGATTAACCACTTGGCTATATTGTTTCAGACTGCTTCCGTCTGTACACTATAAGATTTAGCAGGAACTCCTTCCGGTACGTGTAGGATTCGGTGTTGGAACGCTTGGCAGTCTCAGACGTCGATATCTGTTGCTTCTTCGAATAAACTTGTCCAGCTCCTCTCATCTGTAAGCTCTAGGCTATTTGGTGGTCCTCACGAGGTCTTCGAGGGGTTGGAAGAAAGGCCCCTACGTACAGACACTGGCAATCAGAAGTTGCACGCGGCGCACGTGAGCAGTCGGGATCGTGTACGTCGCGTCGGAAGACTTGCGTTATGGATACTGAAGAGACACTAGGCCACCTTGCAGTTTCGCCCCCGGACTCTCATTGACGCAAGTCGGATAAGCAGCGTCTGTGCATCGGTAACGACGACAAGCGAATCGCTGAGCAGCCGTGCACCAGCACCCAGAGAACATCCAAATTTCAAAGTGGCTCAAACGTGTGCAGAAATTTGAAGTAGAAGAACGCTGATGGGTAGTCTGACAGTTGTTGGATAGCGACATTGGGATACGCCTTGTCGTTCGTGTGAGTCACCTACGAGGCTTGAACTTGCGTCACAATAACGTTTCGTGCTCTGGGCTCCTGACGCGCACTCGCCAATCACCGCGCTGTTCTCGTAGACCTGGATAAAGCTGATTATCTGGGGTCCTACTTACAAGATGACATCGCTTCCGCCATCTAGTGCAAGCCAAACTGCTCACGAGACTCTGCCTGATACTGCACCTGACTCAAGACCTCTGAACATCCCCGCACCCTCACACCAGCCAGACACGGCTGGCCATAATGGGGCATTGCATCGGCTTGTTGGATCGCCTGAGGTTATCTCGAACCCCCCAAGCCAGTCCATGACTGGATCCTTCACCCCCGAAAGCCCCGGAACGGCTCATTCTCCCGAAAGTGGTAATGTGCATATCCATACGACATCTGCCGCTGGACCCTCTTCGAGACCTGCCTATAAGAGGAGCGCTACCTCTCCTGCTGGCACCGCTGAAGCAGTGCAGCGCCATTCCTCCAAAGCCACCGCTGCGGATACCACCACCAGCTTCCTTCGCTTCTCGCGCCGCAGCCGTCACGGACGAAACGGGGGTAAACAGGAGTGGTCTGTGTTTGGCGAGCTCATTGGCCAAGATCACAGTGACGGTCAGCAGCAGTCCTATTCAACATCAGTTATGCGGCGCCCCACGGCGGCGGAGAGCATAAGAGACGTTTTGACGGTCGGTCGCGCGTCATCACGAAGGACCTCTCCGATGCGGCCACCATTACCAAGCTACGACTTAAACCAACCCATGGCTGCAGAACTGGAGCGAAGCTCCACGCCCGACTCTCCGGATCGCAGTACCATCGCCTCCGAACAGGAAGAACTCCTCCACGAGGGTGACTCTGCGCCTTCTAGCCAATTAAACGCGGTTGGGGCCGCTCCGAAGAAAGGGCGGCTCAGCTGGCTGAAGGTGCCAGCTCTTACCCTTCTACAACGTAACATCCTCAAATGCGCCATTGCATACTTTGTTGGGAGTCTTTTTACGTTCAACCCATACCTTTCGAGCTTTATCGTGGATTTGACCGATGACGGCCCAGGGGAGCGCACGCCGTCGCCTTCTGGCCACATGGTTGCCACTGTGTAAGTAAGACTGCATTATGATCTTCTTCCATGATTGATCGCGCGACAGCATCGTCTACTTTAACCCAGCCAAGACCATTGGCGCGATGTTTGACGCGGACACGTACTGTCTAATGGGCGTGCTATATGCAACCTTTGTCTCTCTGGGAAGCATGTCCATGTATTGGTTTTTTGAGGTTCAGCCTGGATGGGAATGGCTCGCCGACTTGCTGGTCATTCTGTGGATTGGTATAGGCATGTCCACCATGGCCTACATGAAAATGTGGATGGGCCAGCCTTCGTTCAACACCGGTAGGTTTCACCGCATTCTCTTTCTATTTCCTCTCGCTCACCTCGCTATACAGCTTGTAGCATGACCTCCATTATCCTGTTTATTGTGTGAGACGCTCGTGTATGGTTACGACTGACCTGCCGCTAATTAACCTGCAGAGTTGTTAAGGAAGGTGGGCTCGAGACGCTCCTTCAAGTGTGCTTTATCGTTTTGGTTGGCTCGATCGTCACGAACCTCATCTGCTTCACCTTTTGGCCACAACGCGCAACACGTAACCTACAACGGACGATGACACAGACGCTCGACTCCTTCGCGACCCTGCTCACGATGATCACACAGACGTTCCTGCTCGAAGAACCGCTCTTACTCGTGAGCCAAGCCGCTCTTGACAAAGCTGCAAAAGACCACCAGAATAGCTTCACGAAGCTCAAGAAGGACCTCTCCGAGGCACAAAGCGAGCGCTTTTTCGGCGGACCCGGAAAGCCAGAGGCAACATTCACCGCCGCAACACTCGGTCTCGCAGACGGTTCTCCCCGTGCACACCTCGGCCAGGCATACGAGGACGCAGTCGGTAGCCTGAACCGGCTCGGCCAGCATTTGAATGGCTTGCGCAGCGGCATCAGCGTGCAATATGAGCTTGTCAAGGCGAGCAGGGACGGGCGCCTCCGGCTCAGGAACATGTCGAGTAGGCGAGCGGGGTCTCGTGGTACGCGCACGAGCTCGACCATGACGTCGGATGGTAGCAACGGAAAGGGCAAGTCGGTCGACCTGAACGGCATCGGGGCGGCGGATGGTGCTGCCGACGATGATTCAGCATTATTGCAAGCAGCGGCCGATGCGTTTGGAGACCTGATAGAAGACCTCGGGCCGCCTCTCAAAGCGCTCTCTGTAGGCCTTCGTCTTTATGTATCCGCTAGCGGCAACTGATTCTTGAGTCCTGCAGACGGCCTGTACGTCTAGCCTGAAGCGCCTGCGAGAGGTGTTCAACGGTCCGCAACAGAAGACGCTGAAAGAGCTCAAACCAGAAGAATTCCACGACTTGGTAGATCACCTCCAGCGCGCTCTGTTCACCTTCGAAAGTACCTCGAACCATGCAGTACTTAGGCTGTATCGGAAGGGCGTGGGCGGCGCGGCTGTCAAAGAGTCTGTCGAGTCTCTACAGAGTGCCGGCAACGATAACTCTATGCTCATGGGCTCAGATAGCGAGAGCATCTTCCTAGTTTACTTGTGCGTCTTACTGCTTTGCTCGTCCGCGCCTTCGCTACTAACTTCATCCCAGCTTTTTCTTCACGCTGCAGGAGTTCACCAAGGAGTTGATCTCGCTCGCCGACGCTATGAGCCGAATATGCAACATTCAACGCGAGACGGGCTGGCGAAGGCTGCTGCGACCATGGTACTACGTAGAGCGCAAGTTCAGACATCTGCGCTACACGACGAACGAGAAGAGGAATAGCACCTTGAGGAAGAGACTGTGCAAGTTGTCATTGTAAACTCCGGACGAGCTATACCGCTGACATTGTACCAGCTGCGTTTTTCTTACCCGACCCCGTACACAAAGCGGTTGTGTTCCCCAAGATTAGGCCACACGCACCGAACACCAAGCAGACACCGGCGCCCGAGGACCTGTCCTTCTTCGAGCGCATCGGACAGTCGCTCTGGTCTCTTGGTGACAGGCTCAGACAAAACGACATGCGCTACGCGATCAAAGCGGGCATGGCGACTGCTATACTGGCCGCCCCCGCTTTCTTCGAAACGACGAGGCCCATCTTTGTCGAGTATAGAGGGGAGTGGGCTCTTATATCGGTAAGTGGGGTTCATAGAGGGCGGAGCAGATGCTCAAATTTTTGTGCAGTTCTTTGTAGTGATATCTCCCACGATAGGAGCGGTAAGCCAGTATTCATTTCTCCGTGCGCAGGAGCTGATCATGCTTGAAGACCAACTTCCTAGGATTACATCGTATTCTCGGTACACTGTGTGTTTGGTGCCTAACTGTATGCGCTGTAAACGACTAACCATGATGCAGGTTCGGAGCGGCAACCTCCGTGGCAATATGGACAGCATTCCCAGAAAACCCATACGTTCTCTCGATCTTCGGCTTCTTCTTCTCGATACCATGCTTCTACTACATTGTCGCCCGCCCCGAGTATGCGACGTCTGCACGCTTTGTGCTATTGACGCACAATTTGACATGTCTGTATAGGTGATTACTAGAGTGTTATTGACATCTTACCCGCTTCTCACGTCCCTTAGCTATAACATCCGCCAAAAGGACGTTGCTATTATCGACATAGCCTTCCATCGTGCGACTGCAGTCATTGTTGGCGTCGTCTGGGCCGCCATCGTCTCTCGGTGGTGGTGGCCGATCGAGGCCAGGAGGGAGCTGGGCAGGGCCCTCGGCGAGTAAGTGGCTGGGCAACACGCGGAGTATCCAAGCCTCATGATGTTGATCCGCAGCTTCTGCCTCAACATTGGCTGGCTATACACTCGCCTCGTTGCCTTCAACTCATGGGAGAATGCCATACCTGCCATCGGCAGGATCGAGGGTGCCGAACCGACAGAGATGACGTGGCTCCTTGCGGGCCCATCGCAACCAAATGAGCCCGTCCTTGAGTTTATGGCTATGTACGTAAAGGCGGTCGTACTATTTTTTTGCGCCATCTGGTGCTGAAAAGCATATCTTACAGGGAATTACACCTGCAGATCAAGCTCATCGAGTTGCAGGGTCTACTCGCTCAGACACAGCACGAACCGCGTCTTAAGGGCCCTTTTCCGGTGAAGCTCTACCGGTCGATGCTCACAAGTTTACAAACGATCCTCGACAAGATGCACAGCATGCGCTGCGTAACCTCTCGCGAAGAATGGTGAGCGTTAGCGGTTTTACTTAGACGATAGGTCCGTAATGACAAGATGTCCTCGCTGAAGGCACACAACTGTCCGCCGCGACTTCATCACTCCGACAGACAAAACCAGGCGCGAGATGGTCGGGAACGTGATTCTTTACTTTTCGACACTCGCTGCAGCGTTCCGGCTCAAGTCGCCGTTGCCGCCGTACCTGCCCCCAGCCGAAAACGCGCGGCGCCGTCTGGTACGATTTCCTTTCGCTGACAAGCGTAGCAAAGGCTTATTTGGCGTATGCTAGGTGGACTCTATCAGGCAGCTCGACGTCGTAAAGAACAGGGACATCAAAGGCTCGCGTCAGCTGCTGTTCTTTGCCTATGCGATCACCATGCGCGGCGTCATTCAGGAACTAGACTACCTTGGGCGAACGTTGCAGGAGACCTTCGGTGTTATCGGGGACAGCACAGAGGCATTCGAGGCGCTTTTCCGCGAGACTGCACACGAGATAGCGTGAGATGCTTTTGTAAACAATTCTACTTATACCGTAATTTTAGAACACTGCTCTGCATATACACGCACGGACAGAGTGTTGGCATGTCGTTTCGCCTACTCGACAATGGTTCCATAAGGTATAAAGTGATACCTTTCATGCATGCTCAATACACACATAGCAGACAGAATATTCCAGTCACATAAGCACCATCAAACATACAACAATATACCTCCCAGGTACGCAAAGGCTGCCCCGACTACGTCTTCACCCGTTTCCTGCGTGCTTGACCTCCCCCTCCTGTGTCGCCCTGATTCAGGCGGTCGAGCAATGATGCCGATGACGCTTCTTCTGGAGGCGTCGGTTGCTTGCTCGCCCTGGCTGCGCCCCTGATACTCCACCCGCCTGGTGGTGGCGCGTTCGTGTCCGGCTGCGCACGCTGTGGCGGCTGCTGCTGTTGCTGTTGCTGCACCGGCCGGCTTTGGCTCTGCTGCTCTGGCTCCGCGCGCCGCTTCGCAGACACACTCGATGGCGGTGCTACCTCTGCCCTGGGCGACGTCCTGTTTGTTCCTCCCGCCGGCACAACAAGCGCCATTCGGCTCAGCAGCGAGGGCACCGACGGCTCGCTGGTGAGGCCCTTCTGCCGTTTCGGATGGGGCTCACCGTCGCCCACAGGCGTCGCGCGGCCGCTTGCCGGCGAGCTTGTCCGCTGGCGGTCCGCCTGCCTCGCGACCAGGTGCGGTGGCAGCTGTCGTTCGTTGCGAGATCCGGTTCCTTGCTGCACTGATCCTTGAGGCCCGTGCGGCATTGACGCTCGCGATGGCGGTCTTGAGGGCTGCCGGTGAGCTGCGCGCTGTTGCTCTGCCTGGAGCTCTGGCTTGCGCTTGATTTGGACACGGCCGCCATTGGGCTTGCCATTGTTTGACATACCTTTCGCTACATTAGTAGACGCCCCTGGGCTTGGTGCTGTCGCCGGTACGGACGACTGACGCGATGCAGGCGTAGTCTGAAGGAGTGACTGCTCAAACAGAGAAGAGGACATTGTTGGATTACGAAGGGGAAAACGAAAGATGGCCCATTGCGAACCCTGATAAGGCTTTGCACTTCTTCTGCAGCTTGTCTGTGCTCTTGCGGAATCTCGCGACTTGAAGCTTGTTCTTGCAATTTCTGATATGCTGAGACAACAGTTGACGACGGCTCCACTGTGAGTCTCAAATGCTGCAA